TTGCCCGCAGTTGTCACGTAGGATGAACTAGCTCGACCCAAACCGGTAGGTAATAAACCAACCTCGGCTCATGACTTATTGATCAACGAGTGGCCTCACAGAGGTCAAGCGCTCTACTACGTATCAACGTCACTGATCAGGGCAACCGCCTACAATTACGCTAAGTGGTTGTGTCGACGCCAAAAAGGACTGGCCGATGGGTAATCATTAAGGTATCAGCGATTCTTTGGCATTTTATCTGGAGGACACAAGGTCTTAAATTAGGTCTTAAGAAATGAATTTTCCCTTTTGACGTTGATTCCCTGCTTTCCTTGAAAGAAAAACTCTACGCTTGCATTGACATTTTAATGAACCATAATCTAGAAACGTTCAGTTTCTGCCCTGAGCATCACTGTATGTCCGACCGTCTGCACAAACAGTAGGTTATCGGAACACCCAGACTCTTCACTGAAGCGCTTTTACGACGACTAGATGGCGTCGTTCGAAGTCAAAAAGCGGAAGCACGGCTACGCTACGGTGACGACGCCTCAGTTACTCTAACGAGCAGCGAAGTGGACGAGGGGCTGCATGGCGTGTCACCAGCCATGCTAAATACTTGTTACGAGCGGTCAGGCGACAATTTCCCGTTTCTCAAAAGTGGACATGGAAGAACTGAGTGGCAGAAATGTCAGAATAAGTGCCTACAGGAAAGTCTAGTGCTGCAATCATTGTCAACTAGGAAGACTGACAATGGGGCTGCGTTAGAACCCCCTCATTGTGCCTTTCAGTACTAAAGGAGGACTGGTGTGTTACAGGGGGAGGGGGGGAGTAAACACATTGGATGGGTACAGGAACATGTATCCTCTGTTTTACAGGCGGACTTGTGCTAAATTGCACCGAGGGAGGGAGTAAGGTTGGTGTAAGAGTTAGGGTTATGGGAGTTGGAGTTAGGGCTAAAATTATGACACGAAAATAAGTATTTAGCGCGAGGCCACCTGTAGCACGGGGGTTCCTATACCCGTGCCCGACCGACACACTCATATCCGTTCATTCCAATCAAGCAGATGCCCCGTGAATCTCGCAAAAACTGTCCTGGACGTCGCGAGCCAACACCTTCTAGTGCTAGTGCTTGTGGAGTGTAGGTTGGATGACCTCAGTGGCAGTGGCGTGGGTGGTTTTCGGCAATCTCTACCACATTCACTTAACCCCCCCCCCTCGTCTTCCAATGTTTGTACGTTGTCGAAACTGGTGTTTGTTTTGTTTGAGGGCTTCCTGCTGCATGGTTCTGTTCAGCCGAAATGGTGTCCTTTCCCCCGAGGCTGCCTCCGTTGTTGAATTTGCAGTTCCATTTCCGAGGCACAAGACGGTGGCCGGTCCAACATCCAGCCGCTAGCTCCGTCTTCGTCGCGGGCACGTTACGGCGATTATACGTCTTAACGAGTACGTAGTCCATGCGGTCGTCAATGACGAGATCAAAGGTGCACCTATGATGTTTCCCATGACTGTGAAGCCAAAAACCTCTAACTACTCACGTCGGTTGTTAGACACACATCTATGACGATGGAACCTGGTCTAGTTTTAAAATGGCCAGAACATTGATCTGATGGCCCCTGTAAGTGCTTAGCCAAAAGTGGACCCCCAGTCAGTCAATTGGCGAGAACATTGACCAGAGATTTAGATGTCCGAATTGCCGAAAGTACTCTTAAGGTGCATGTGTGTCCGAGGTCAGGGTCGCGCGGGTACATCGCGTACAGGATGACTAACTAGGTCCGCCGCACTGCTAAGTGGTTGGTGTTTTGTTCGCTCCGGGTTACAACTCCCCTCTCGAAGTCAAATGGGAAGCGATGGGGGCGTAAAGGCAGGTAAATCAAAGCGTTGAACAGCTTGATTAACCAGGATATATGCGCATACGACACAAAACAAGGGGGGGCAGTCGTCCAACGATAACAACCGTGTGGAATGAGTGCGTTCTACGTACCGTCGGAAAAACGAAAAGACCGCTTAGACGCCATGGCTCAAGGTGAATCACAAAGGAGTCCACTTTAACTGGAACATGCGACTGAGTATTTGGTGTTTTTCCCAAATGCAACAAGGTTATCTGATTTGGACTGACTTATAGCTACCTTCCTCCCTCCGAAATAATCCTCCAGACTACTTGTAATGTGGGTGGTTTTGGAGGCGTCATTTTTCACGGTTTTACGGCTTGAAATCTTTGCAAAGTAAATGGCCCCTTTCAGTATTTTGGTGCTGTCTACCACCTAATCTTTTTCAGGCTCTTCACAACCACCAACCCCGCTTTATGCTATATAACCTCTTATATTTATGTATTCTTCCCTTTGTCCCTTATTGCTTTTCGATAACGTTCCCTTCTGCTGAAAAAATTATATCTGTACAGTAGATGTGCGACCCCAGGAAATGTTAACGGGAATTCTAAAATGCATTTTCAATTCGAAAAAAATTATTCACTATGATTGTAATACGAATTATCATGTGACATAATATCAAGATGATCCAGTCACGTCGGGATGCCAGCTTTCGAATGAGTTCCTAATCGTTCCTAATGCGTAAAAAACGACTACTTAATTTGTGTTAATTCTTCCCATTGGTTTTCGATGGAAAATAGGCATTAACATACCCTTCCTACTCATTTGGTGGAAAACTACGACCTCTTTAAATTGTATACTTGAGGAAAGAGTATCTTTCGGTTTTAAAAGTTTCTAATTATGAGAATTTTAAGACTATGGAACACCCAATCGCACGGCACTGCACCAGCACATTTATTAGTGCTGCTTGTAAAGTGGACAACGTGGTCCGCATCCATTACAAAATTTTATGAGTCTTGTGTGGTCTCTTCAAAATCGCATTTAGAAATGCATGCTTTTCCTTGCACGAAAGGTATACAGCTTGTAGTTCGGAAATCCTGAATGCAGATGTAACGGCAGGTCGGGTTCAAAATTATTCGGGAATTAATAAAGTTTTTGTAACCATAGGATGCTCCATCTTCGAGTTTAGAATTTGGAGATGTGATCTTCTGCCAAATGAGCAGAGGAGAGAATATTTTTTGTCTATCCTTTCTATAAAGTATATTTGGATTCATAAGGGTATCGAAAATCAACGGGAAGCATTCGTGCTACTTAAGTAGTCTTTTTTACGGAATTTAGTCCGTGCAAGCAGTGAATAAGCTCATTTGAAAGGTGGCATGTTGACGTGACAAAAAATACCTTAATATTATGCGATATGGTAATTAATATTACAAACCTACTAAAGTAATCTTTTGGAATTGAGAACACATTTCAAGAGACAGCGCATCTACTTATGTGTAAACACACAAAAAGATCGTCCTCAGCCTTCTTTCGCTCTCCCACGACGACTGGGGGAGGGGAGAGGGTAGTTATAATCCAAGCCTACAGCTTTCGGGACCAAAAAGAATTGACGAACAAATAGAGATTTCGAAGCCGAAGAGCAAAGGATTCTGCGACAGAATGAGTATCACGATTGCGTAAGGTGATGGAGGTTCCATTCAAGCTTGAGTAGTCGCCCTGAGCGCGAGAAAGAGCAGTCTGGGTCTACGTGATGATAACGTCAGTGATCTGTGTGCCATGGGGGTACCTCGATGGAATCTGCGGTGAGGCAGGGTAGTGCGGATGACCTTGCGTTACATTTCAGGAGGGGAATCCTGTTCCCGTGTCCTAGACCAGGCACTAACCCCTAACTTTAGGCCTAACCATAACCCCAACGCTTAGCCCTAGCCTTAAACCAGACCCTAAAGTTAACCCTAACATCCGCCTCAAGAATAATTTCGCCCGAATCAAGCACAATGCCACTTGTATTATGGGTCGTTCCTATTCCCGTGTCCTGCAGATGGAGGGGGGAGGGCCAGAAGATAAGCGACAGAGACAGGGTTGTGTTCAAGTTCGCACCCAAAAAAAAACTTCAGAAACGCCGAAAGTCAATCTAACAACGCATACAATTCAAGTGGTTACTACTCCCGTAATGTCGAAACGGGTAGCAGGAATGATTCTCGATCAATAACCAGTCCTCAACGGTTTGCAAAGTGGCATAATGGAGGGTTTCTTTCTTGGGCTAGGACTTACGGCAACATTTTGTGGGGTTTCAGTGCATAAATAATGCGTCTGACTTCCAAAAGAATTATTCCACAGGAACGCCTTATGTGATGGGCACAAGGCCAGTCCTCCAGATCACTGATGAGAATGACTACGGACAATCTACATGTTTGAAGCAGTTTTTCCCCGGTATGAATTGAAAACAAGCATGTACGGCAGAATTTATTGGGGCCAACAAATTTCGTGACGGCTTTTCAACTGCAGTTAGATCACGTGATCAATCTGCAATTGCCCTGGTAATCTCATGCCTCTAGTTTCCCCTGACTGTGATTTGTTGTTAACATTTCGTCTCCCTCTTTCCTATATGATGCTTATGTGGACGTCTTATCTGATTATTCATTGCCTTGAACCTTGACCTTGCTCTTATGCACTGCCATTCTGTACAAATTCATACTGCTGTGCGCTTTCATTCTTACCTATGTTATGCAGAGACAGGTTGCAGTTGAAAAGCCGTCACGAAATTTGTTGGCCCCAATAAATTCTGCTGTACATGCTTGTTTTCAAATCTACATGTTGACGGTCAGCCGAACCCAACACAGGCAGGAAGACCTGAGATGTGAATCGGCCCAGCTTACGGCCAACTATCCACCCGGCTGAGGTATTGCGTAATCAGTGCCGTCAATCAGAATGCGGGGGCAAATACAGGAAACTAGCTTCTTTTTGCGCTTATTCCAAAAGGCCTGATCAAATTTACGCTAATGCCAAAAACAATGTGAAAATACACGTTACTGAAGTGACGATTTCTTCTGGACAGTTATTGACATAAGTGTCGGAAAACGTGCGCAACCAGAGGTCAGTATGCTACAGTGTACGACAGGTTCTAATTAACATCACTTACATTTTAAGCAAAAGCACTCTGGAGAATTGAATACTAGGAGTCCTGATGCCTAGCGCATGTTACCACCGAGTAGGTTTGAACTCTGGGGTACTTACATCAAGTGTCGGATCAGTGGCGAACAACGATGTCCGCGAAGGGAGCGGCGCCTGGGTCTTCGCAATCGGCTGAAGTATGTTTGTCGTAGGAGGATCCGGGGGCGCTGCAAATGTCTCCTGTACTCCAACATCCTTCTGCAAATTTAAATAAAAGAGAGCATGTTAACGCACGCTGTTGCGACAACTACAGAGGCTGAAGGACAACGAGGTACTAGCCTTTCCAAGGTACTCACAGTAGGTGAGCTAACTCATGAAATGTCAACCGAAATTCCGAACTACGTTTTCGTTTCAAAAAGGTTAATTAAGTAGGGTTGTAAAACTAATCATCGTGCAGCATAATTCTATAGCAATCCAGTTACCTCAGGATATGCCGGCTTTCGAAAGAACTTCTTCCCGGTTGCATGCAAACCGTGTAATCTTTAAAAAAAATGGCTACTTAAGTAGCACGCATTTTTCTCATTGATTTTCGATGCCCTTGAAAATTAACTTATATTTCAAGGAAAACATGCATAAAAATATTCCTTCTCTTGCTCATTCGGCAGAAAACGACGTCTTCTTTCACTCGCATACTCGAAGGCCGGGTATAATTCAATTTTCAAGAACTTTTACAATTCCCAAATAATTTTGAACCCGACCTGCCGTTGCACTTGAATTCAGAGCTTCTAAACTACAAGTCGTATATTTTCCGCGTACGGAAAACCATACATTTCTCTGCGGCATTAAGAGGAGACTGTATGGGGTTCATCAAATCTAGCAGTGGATTTGAGCCATATTGTTAACTTTAGAAGCCACATTGGCAAATGCAGAGACATGAGGTTTTATGAACGGCCCTTTCACGGCATTAAAAAAATCTCACAATTAGAAACTATTTAAAACAGAACTATGCCCTTCCTTCGAGTAAAAAATTGGAAGAAGACGTAATTTTCCCCCGAATGAGCATGAGGGTGAATATTTTTATGCATGTTTTCTATGAAACATAATTGAATATTTAGGGGCATTGAAAATCAATTAGAAAAACACATGCCACTTAAGTAGTCATTATTTACAGAGTATAGTTTTTGCATGCGGCCGGGAAGGAGTTCCTTCGAAAGCCGGCATCCAGAGATAACTGAATTATTATAGAATTATGCTGCACAATTACTAGTTTTACAACACTACTTAGTTAAACTTTTCGAAACGAAAACGCATTTTGGAATTTCGGTTGGCATTTCATGCGTTAGCCCACCTACTGTATATCGTATTTTTGGCGGACAGAAATCTGACTGCTTGAGCTCGTTCCCTGACACAAAATCAGTGATTCATCCTCATGTTGGGCAAAACTAATCACTGTTCACTGAACTAATCGGTGCGATGCTTAGTAGGTCAGAGAATAAATACCTTCTAAGAGGCTACATAAAATAAGCTATTAGATGTAATTTTCGGCTGAGAGGTGGTTGTTCATTTTTACCGCTTCCTTGTTGAAAAAAACTTCAAGAAATGAAAGAAAAAAAGAAACCCAACTCACATATTTTGTTGAGGTAGTTTTGACGGGACGGCAAGTGGCAAGTTTATCGATGAGATTGTTGATTTGAGAACGAACTACTGCCAGTTCATCAATGAGAACTATCCCCTCGGGCGAGGTGATCGGATTCCCTTCATGTTCGAATGGCTCGTTGGTTGAGGGATGCTCACTATCCTTTTGTGGTCGACCTAGATGAGGTATATGGAGGAGGGAGGAAGTACGGGCACCTACTGGACACGTGGACGCAGAGCTTTTTATTTTCCAGGAGAGCCAAATCAAGGTCTGCTGCGTCGCCGAGGGTTATCAGATCACCGTCTAACGTGGAAGTTAAATATTAACAGGAAAGTCGAGCAGACGCCCACCTGAGTCCACGTACTTCAAAATGAGATCGTCACCAGCGGCTATGTGGCCTTTGAACATACGTGAAATCATCAGATGCAGTTCATCAAATGAGAGCTCGTCCGTATAAACAGGCAAAGTGCGAATTTCCTTCTCATATTTGGCCTTCACAATGAGTGGCTGCGACATCGTGGAGGTAACTACTAAGAGGGATGAGAAAGAAGACATTTACTAAGCGAATAGTTATCAGATAATGTGTGACGTATAAACTGAGCGTGAAGGCTGTTAGCCTGACATATTTGCCCTTGATACTAACACATGGACCTCGGTCAAACTATGCTTTGTTCGGAGTTAGCACGCTGTTCAATCCGGCCGACATTCTAATTCTTGGTCATAAAACGTAGATTGCGGGCTTTGGCATGTTGTCAAGTGTCCTGGTGCTGGGTGGTTCCGCAATGTGTGCTCAAGAGAGCCGTTAAGCCAGCCGATCGCATGTCAGTCAATTCATTTCTTGGGTGCAACCAGCGGCACGACCAAGCTAAAGTTGAGCAAGGTGGCGACGGTGGGTTTAAAATGAGGTAGTTTACTTCCTCCTTGGTCGTCTTGCAAAGTGGCACGTGGTCGCCTGCTCCCGACCCTATTGGCAGACGATAAAAGTAGTCTGTTCAGAGACAGCAATCAGATCGTGAGGATAAATGCCTGCTTAAACCCGACAAAGACTGACCGACGTGAAGGCGCTGATGAAACTCCAGTTTTATGATGCTACTTGCTTATCCGTTGGACTTTATTTGTGGACCGTGTGGGCTACGCATAAATGCGCATCTGTTTGAGTCCGGGCAGAGATTTTGGTCGGGTGAATGGCCAGCCGACTAGGGACAAAGTAGATCTGAAAATGTTGCTAGTCCAGTCTCCTCTGCCCTTTGCGACCTGGTAGATGATCGCATGTTCGCGTTACCCACAACCAAGAGACGGAACTAGTTTACTCTGACATGCCAACCAAATTGACGTGCGCTCACTTCAGAGCAACCAAAGGAAGTTCCCTCGAATCCCAGGCTCAAGGTCCTGACGACCGTTAGAATTTCCGATACAACTCACTAGTGGAACGTCCCTCTTACACCAGCTCCGGAGACAATTGCCTGCAAGGTCTTGGCCAACTTTGCTGGTAGTCTAGCTGTTGGTTACCTCGCAATTGCATGAATGGTTGACAGTGAAACCAACTTCAGGAAGGCCAACTGCCAAACAGACAGTTGTTGAGGATAAACGGAAGTACTCCAATAGACTAACAGTTCTTTAGGAAGAGACATGCCCAAACCCCTTAAAATAGAGCGAAGTTTGGTGATAACACAGCAACATGACAACTATGAATCCCTGCCAGAAAGTATTGGATGTTGCCGCTAATTTTCAAGCGGGACACCGACATCGCTGTAGAATAAAAGATTGGAGAGTCCAACTTTTAGCAAGCCCTTGAATCTTTTTGAACGCGGCTTTCTGAAACCCTGTGTTACGGACTTTAATGAGCGCGAAAGAACTCGTGCTGCACCTCCGAAGGGTACAAAGCAGACGAATTTGAATTGACGGTAAATTCCTTGTAAAAAGTGAGGATATCAGACGTCACTCTCAAAGTCACCTATCTAAACAATAATAGACAAATTTGTGTAAGTCAACGGCGGTTTTTATACTAGGTAGAAATTTCTGTAAAACAGGCAAGGGAAGAAGGAAGTCGAAAATAAATGTAAAAGGAAGCAAGCGGCCTTTATTTGTTGAAAATCGGAACGAGTTTGGACGGGAAAGATATGGAAATTGTTTTAAAATAGTCATCATACGCAGACGTAAGAAATTGTCAGTGAGCTTAGAACGCACCCCCTTCACAGCAACAGTTTGTCCTCAACACACGGCACTCGCCTCTATAGTCGTAGGACTTAGGAACGACCATTCAGTCGATTGAAAAAAACAACTGGATAACTGTTTTCCCCCAATAAGCCAAGTCGAACGGGTTCACCGTGTACCGTGTCCGCCTAAAGGCGAAGATGTCGGAGACTGTATCTCGCCCACATCAGGGTTGCCTTTGCTGAGAGCCATAAAGGACAGCGGTCCCAGGACCCAGGACTTGTGAGGTTGGGGTAACAAGCGTCTAAATATAAACGCGGCCAATCCGAAGCATAATCAGTTGAACTAGTTACGATAAACGCCGGTAGTAAATACTCCGGGAAACAGAGCTAACTGATGATGGGAGAAAGGGGATGGAAGGCTGAAGTCCGGTCTCGTAAAATGTTCAATTCGACAACAAAACTGACAAATAACGAAGTTAACTGCCATTAAATAGATTCTTGCTTCTGTTGTCTCGCATGCTGGATAATTTGAGAATTATGAAACCCAATTTGAAGCGAAAGGCAAGACCTACACAATGTAAGTCCCCCGATCGCAAATCTAGGTTGATGCCATGATGCCCGCGACGTGCGACGAATCTGGGCCTTCGACAGTTGGCCGAAGGATAAATATGCAAGCTGGCTGCTAGACCCGACAAATAGGGCTGATGGTAAGCATGCATGTTCGTCTCTTTGAAGGCAATAATTAGCTGCACATTACATGATATGATGTGAAAAAAAGCACTACGAGGCGAGAGTTAGCGCGACACAACGCGAACATTATCTGATTCCCCAGAAAGCGTTTGCTAGACCATGGCTCGAATCCGCGAGCGGAACACTTCAATAGCAGTGAAACAAAAACGGTGAGGTCTGTCTTTTTTGTTCTTCAAGGCGTTCGATCCCGAGGTCTGAACACACATGTGGCTGATTATGGCTGCAAAGACTGTGTACGCATGCTATGCTACGCTTCAACAAACCATGGCCCTCACAGCCCGATGAGCGTTGGCAGTTCTCTATCGTCCAATTCCCGGCCAGTGAATACGTTGGAGCTCCCGTTTGGCATACAAGCCGTGCACACGCTTCCCCAGTGATTTGCGTCCTCCTCTTTTTGACCCTTTTTGCTGTTGGTTAAAATCCTGTTGTCGACCAGGGGGTGTGGTGGCAGGCCTAGGTGCGGGTCCGGCCGTGCCAATCGCCTGCGCCCTCTTCCACCTTCGGTCTTCTTGACATGCCTTGACAATGGCCTCCGTGGGGGAGGTGGAGAGTACGGTCGATGTTGCGCAAGTTTACTACAACAATAAAATAATTCACGCACAAGAGACCGTGCCTGCTCTCATCTTGCTGTGGAGCACACGGTGGACATCTTCGGCAGCGACGGTCGAATTGTCATCTGATCACGGGAAGCTGACATTTTGCTTCATGTTTTGAATAAAACGAGGTTTGTGTGTGCCTGTCAAAGTTCATCGAAGACAAGGAAGTAGAGTCCTTTTTCGTTGTTAAGTCTTAAGTGGTCAGCATCATGTCCGCTGCCCTCGAACGTTTACGCCCATGACGCGCCCCGACCTGAACCCCAGCTAAGCGCCTTCATGTTCACGAGAGGAAATGGGAACAGAAGGAAGCGGGATTTTGCAAGGTGAATTTTATGTCTGATATAAAAAAACAGAATAAGCAAATATAAGCAACCTGATCACTCCAGTCCCTGAATGATGTACTAATATATTGCAGACATGAATCTTCAAAAAAGTTGTGTTTGCTAATAACCTCCACTACCTAGGTAGGTAGCTACGCATATCCAATTATATCTGTTATCATAAAGATAGTGTTCCATTACCCATGATATACTTATTCCCCGAATTTTTGCTTCAACGTTCATGTAATGAACTAAACACATAGAAAAGGCGCCATTTCACATGTGAAGTAGAAGACAATGTGTACTGGGAATTTAAGATATGAATGCTAAAGCATCATCCGGACAAAAAGATGACGTCTTAAAAAAGAATTCTGCCTTCCGTCACCATAATGCTAGATCGACAAAACGCACATGTGCTGAGCACTTCTCGTGGAGAAGTCCTATTTTTAAAACAAAAGCGTACTTTCTTTTGCGCCTTCACAAGGTGCAAGATATTAACGGAGCAAAAATGTGGGGCACAGTCGCGGGCAGTCGCGAACCGCCAGTAAAACCAACACGACCCTAACACAACCGAAACACGGAAGGCCGTGATAATGAGCAGTCTAAAAAACAATGGAAAAAGGAGGATTCGGCCAGGAAATTACACAGTACAATAAAAAGATAACAGATACAAAAGAGCAACCACTCTTTCACTACCAGTAATTGCAGTCTTTTATCTGTTGTAAGTCCAATCGCCCCTGTTCTCCCCAGTTGGTCACTTGATCGATCGCAATATTTCTTCCTTGACCTATGTATCAATAACCCGTGAACATTACTCTAGCAACAACTCTAAACCTAACCCTAACCGTAGCCGAGACCCTTACCCTAACCCTATTCATAACGCTTGCTTAACTATAGACGCAAATATTAATTATAACCATAAGTTGAGCTACTTATAATAAATGTTTGCCATGCAAAATCTCTGCATCAGGGTTTGTCAGCTAAAGTCTTTGTAAACTTACCGTGTCAAAATTGTAACTTGCGTCTTAAATTTGATTCTTTTGCAAAGTACGCATCTCGTTTTACCATAAGTCTTGGTTACGCCCTCTTATTCCCCGATATGCATGAGTTCGGGCTCATAACGTATTATCAGGAATTTCAGGCACCGGTTAATCTGCGCCATTTCCGTGTGTCAGGAATGTTTTAAGAACATGATCGAAAAAATGGCCAAGCACCAGACAGTGATCAACATTTTACGCAAAAAGCCTGTGGCGTCTGACGAACGTATAGATGTTTGTGCCACAGCCAAAGTATCAAATATGATTTGATAGTTATCGCTACATGACAGTCAATTCAAAGGATGCAAGTAAAATGTGGGGACACTATTGCATCATAAATCCAAGTTATAAAACTTTCATCTCTACTCCCATTGCCAGTTTAGAAGAAAACAAAGTACAAAAAAAACTGCAAAGGAAGATCTCGAATTGTCAAAACCTCATGCTTTCGTGAATATAAGAGTAAGCAAACTAGATACCGCAAGAAAAACTGATTTCTAGAAATAACTTTTGAAGAAGATTATGAACAAGAGCTATTGTATGCTTAACTAAATTCTAAGGATACTCGGGCAGTAAAAATTTAAATAGGGACGAAACTGCACGTGTTAATTGTGTAGTTAGAAACGTAGCATCTCTGTTGCCACATGAAGTATAACATCTGCTCTAGCTCCCTCAGTCGGCATTTACAGTAAACCCAGTGGGATATAACTCAAGGTGTGACACGAAACAGAACACCGGCGTTATTAAAACTGCTGTCATTTATGTCGAGGGGTGGGACGGGTCTACCGTTGGAGCATAAATATTAAACCCAACAACTGGAGTGACGCCCTATGTTCGTCCTTCTTCCACTTCACTCGCCTATAGTAAGGAGTGGATAAGCGCCATCATACAGTAGGGAACGCTAGGGGATACAGTAGGGAGCCAATAGCCTCTCAGCTGCGTCACGCAGCTGCAGAATATCGACGAAGCCCGTGTCTGGGCTTATAGTTTGAACCTATATCGGGTGTCGGGTATAATATGTTTGCCATGGAAAAGTAAATATGTAGGTCAGACAGGGACGTCCCGCCGTTGAGAATTTATAAGAGTCCGAAACGTCCCGCGCTAAGTAGAGCTCCTAGATCGGCCGAGGCTATTGGTCGCAGGTTCAATTATAATATTTCCTTGATGATAGCATAAACAACCGTCAACGTTGACGAGACCAGATAAATCAAACGCGATCGCTCACAGTCAGGTAAGAGTCCAGCCGAGGAGGGACTATAAAACGCTGCGGGGAAGATCAAAGCGCAGGAGGATACAACCACCATACTTCTTCGTTGACCGATCAAATTACTAACAAATGTCGAAGACAGAGGGGTCCGCCGTGATCGTCAACATATTTATTGTGGTCGAAGTGAGGAGATGATATTAAAAAATCGTCGCTGCACGGGAGGATTAAAAGAAGTGGGTATAGTAGCCAATTATAAACAGAGGGTTCGGAAATTTAAATGGGTTACCACTTAAACAATCAAAAAATGTAATGTCAACCATAATGTCCTCTGAGGACCCCTTTAAAAATCCAGAATTTGAGTGATCGTTAATGAAGCGGTCAGCAATAAATTTGTGTCTTCCAAGGTAGGGCGCCTACGTAATTTCGATTTGAATTACTATAATGTATGCGATGAACTACGTTTAAATGCAAAATTATTCCAAACGAAGGTTCAGTTCAGTTCAGTTTATTGAGGGAAATAGGCGTAAACCTTTGAGTACCCTATTTGCAACGTAAAAATGTTCGACATACAGATACATGTTCCAGGCTGAAATAGTTCAAACACGCCCATAATTATAGGACAAAATGAGAACGAGTTACGGGGCGTGTGCTCTACTTCTCATCGCTCTTGGTCATTTCGGAACATAAATATGTCCAGATTCTTCTTAAAACTTTGTATAGATGGTGACATCACAACATCTGCGGGAAGCTCATTCCATGGTTTGACCATCCGAACCCCGAAGGAGAACTTCCGCACATCCAGCCGTGCCTGCTGAGTGCGCAGTTTTAACGGGTGACCTCGGAGGTTGGTCGTGGTAGCAAATTCAAAAATTCTTCGAAGGCCAGATTGCAATCCAACCCCTTTACAATGCGGAAGGCTTGCAAGAGATCTCCGCGAAGTTGCCTGTAACTCAAAGGAAAGAGGTTCAGATTTACTAGGCGGGTTGCGTAAGGGAAGGAGCTTTGACCCCTAACCATCTTCGTGGCTCTCCTCTGGACTCTTTCGAGGCAGTTTTGATCCACAACAGCCCACGGCCTCCAAGCTTGTATGCCGTACTCTAAATGCGGCCGGGCGAATGTTCCGAATCTCTTAGAGAAAGCTTCTTCGTCAAAGTCCATAAACGCACGCTTGATGGCGTACAGTACGGACATTGCGGTTTTTGCCACCCTCGAATAGTGGGAGGATGGTTTTAGGGAACTCGTCGTCAGCACACCGAGGTCCCTTTGGGCTTCGACCTCTTGTAGGGCTGCACCGCCCAGAAAGTAGTTTCTTGTGCTGGCGGATCTGGCTGTGTTGCCTAGGCGAAGTATGCTACATTTGGCAACGTTGAATCGCAGGAGCCAACGGTTTGACCACTCCTCCAACCGATTCAGGTTCATCTGCAGTCTGTCTTCATCGGCAGGACCCCGAATTACAGTCCATATCTTCATGTCATCCGCAAACATTGCAACTTCACAGTCTAAATCTCTTGCGGCATCGTCCACGTAGATAAGGAACAAAATGGGTCTCAGTACTGAACCCTGGGGGACACCACTATCGACCATAGCCGGATCTGATTTACCCCGACCGACGCACACAACCTGGTGTCGACCCACAAGGAAGTTTTCGATCCATTTAAGGAAGTTGCCACCGATCCCTATTTTTTCAGCTTATGTAAGAGTCTTTGGTGTGGCACAGTGTCGAAAGCCTTCTGGAAGTCGATGAAGGCTATGTGGACCGCGTGCCTGTTGTCAAGTGCTCGGGCCCAGCTCTGGAGAGATTGCAGCAGGTTTGTCTTGCAGGATCTTCCTGCTCGGAACCCATGTTGGCATTTCGATAGCAGGCTGTGAACTTCCAGGAATTGCATCAGTTCACTCTTTATGATTCTTTCCATAACTTTGCAGAGAATGCATGTCAAGCTTATGAGCTGGTTATTTGTCGTCGCTGCCCTGTTACCTCCTTTGTGTAGCGGAGTAATATGCGCCAGCTTCCAATCGACAGGAAGTGTTCCAGTGTCAAATGACGTTTGAAAGAGCATCGACAAAGGCACAGAGAGCTCACTGGCAAGTTCCTTCAGAAGCTTGGATGGAATCTCGTCTGGTCCTGGCGACTTCGATTCGTTTAATGCCTCTAATTCTCTTCGGACAATGCCTTTTGAGAAGAGTATATCACTGACGCTTGGAGTCGGCAGTTCTTCTGTGGAGGGAGGAAGGAACCTTGCCTCGTTTGTGTAGACTGATTGGAAAAACTGTGAAAAATACGCAGCTTTATCCCCACTATCAGCGATCTCATCGCCATCAGTAGTCTTTATCAAGGGGATTTGATGCCTGTTCCTTGTAGTTCGTCGGAGGTAGCTGTAGAGCAATTTTGGGTTCTGCGTTGCTTTTTGTAGCAAGTTCTTCTCGAATTCCCGCCGCGTCTGAATTATCAGCTTCCTCAGTTTGTTCCTCTGTGTCTTGTAGGTGTTGAAGCATTCAGCTTGTCTAGTGACGCAGTATTTTCTCCACAATTTGTGCTTCCTGTTGATTTCTTCCTTGAGGTTGCTATTTAGCCACCCAGGGCGTTTGTTCAGTCTTACACTAGTCAGTGGGCAGTGGTTGTTGATGAGCTGCAGAAGGACATTCTTGAACATCTCCCATTCATCGTTGGCACTTCCCGTAAACAATGAGCCCCAGTCAAGACCGGATAAGTCTGCCCTCATCTGATTGAAATCGCCCCGCCAAACATTACGCCTTTTGTGGCCTGGAGTGTGTGAAATGGAGAATAACGAATAATCCCACATAAGCACTACGTGGTCACTTCGTCCAAGGGGCGGCATGGAGACGATCTCGTCTATGCTGTCTGGTGTTTTCGTAAAGACCAGATCCAGGCAGTTTGCCCTTTGTCCTTCACGTGTTCTCGTTGGGAACATTACATGTTTTGTGAGGCACGCATTTAATGTTTTGCTCAACAGGCGGTAATCGAATGCCGATTTTGCACCTGACGCTTGGAGGGTATTCCAGTTTGTTCCTGGTGCGTTGAAGTCGCCCATGATCATGATGTTAGGTCGAATGGAAAATTTCTCCAACTGCTCCAATAGTTGAGTGTCGGCGATTCGGTCTGTCCGAGGTGGTCGGTAGACAGTGAGGACATCAAGACACGGGGAACCGATAGCCTTGATGGTCAACCAGATAGCTTCCGTACTGCACGCAAACTTGGTGGTGTTATCCGACACTTTCAGACCTTCATTCACATACACAACGATACCACCACCCTGACGATGTTCCCTGTCCCTCCGATAAATTTGGTATCCAGGCAAGGCTACTTCGTTATCGCTAATATTCCCAGACAGCCAGGTCTCAGTTACTGCTAAAACATCTGGAGATTGCTCAACAAGGCAAAGTTTTAGTTCGTCTAGTTTCGATATGAGGCTTTGGGCATTCGTGTACAAGCACCTCAGTTTAGCACCAGCCGAATTTCCCGTTGCATTTGTTACTGCTGTGAGCATTACTCCGTTATCGCGGAAGTCGTGTTCTCTAGGCTCTTCCGTTACCTGATTGGTTCCGTTTACATGACTTGTTTCAGTCCGATCACTGAACGCTACGGGCTCACTTGTGCTGGCGCCTTGATCAGGTGGTTCAACGAAAGTGCCTGTTTTAGCTGAGTAGCTGTCGTCGTTCGTAGTATTACAGGCTGGTTCCACTGAAACGGCATATATTTTCGAACTACCTTCCCCTTGAAGATAGCCAGATTGTGTTAGCCATCCTTCAGTCTTGATCTTAACTCCAAGACAAGTTTCCGGCGTTTCAACCGTTCCGCTGGTGAATAGTCCGGTTGAAAAAAAACCTGCTTGTGTGTGTTTCTGAGATCGGATTTTTTAGAGAGGATAAACTTGATTTGCTCTTTGTTCTCCAGCATAATTTTGAGAGGGCGAGGTGGTTGTCCTACTGTCCTGTCTTCACTCCTTTTTCCTATCCGGAATGCTTTCAGAACCTTTATTTCCATGTCTGCCGGCAGTAAATGATTTAGCAGACCATGAAAAGAAGCAAGGTCCTCTGAGACACGGTCTTCAGGTCTGACTGCATTCGATTCTGACAAACCCTGAATAACCAGACACTGCTGGCGAGCATGGTCCTCCTTACTCTGTCTTTCCGATGAATGCGCTGCATGTGGGCGAGGACGATTTATGGAGTCATCGCTTGGACGCACACTTTTACTGTCTACCGACTGTCCCGAGCAACCCATCAGGGCTGGCTGGGACTTCAGAATCCTGTTATGGCGTTTCCCTCTCCCTTCTACTCACGGGTTTATGTCTTCGCATTCAACTACGTGCTCTGTAGTGCGCTCAGGGTGGTTGCCAGAACAAGAGGGCAACAGTAGACTGGATGACCCAGGTATATCGTCTCCAGGCAAAACAGAAATCCCATCACTTACAGCAAGAGGCTTAGGTGAGATGGCTTCCGCGACAGGTAATTTTTTTGCGACATCGCTTAAGACATCGTGCGTGGGAATCGAGTCTCCCTTTATCGGCGGCTTCGTTTTCATTGTCCTGCTGTTACCGGCGTCTGAGGTTTTGGCTGTTGAGTTGCTACTCGTGTTTGAAGATTCCCCCAAGGCGATATTTTTGCGCGTTTTTGCGTTTTGCTCTTCGTTTTTGGGGTTCTAACACTGGACACGTTCTGGCCGACTACGGTCTGTTGCACGAGCGTCCTTAAATCAGCAAGCTCCTTTTCCAGTTGTTCTACTTTGATTTGAATATCTGCGCACCCACCACAAGGCTCGTTTTCGTACCTCACACTTTTTGCAGTATTTACGCTTTGCTGGTCGTTGGCTGGAGGCGAAGGTAGAGCGAGCACAGGTTCTGGATGCGAAGGACAACTCACCGGACTTATCTTCCAAAGAGGTGCCGTCGCTGGCCGTACTACTACAGTTAGCTTGCTGAGAATCCATAAACTTCGACGTGATATAATAGGTATAATTCCGCTTTCGATGTTATAACGAATACTTCGGCTTATATATGATGAATTAAAGTGAGTATTCAAAACTCAATAAGCGAAAAAAATACTTAAAATCCGATAAATTTTGTTGAATTTAATCAGAAGCGACTTAGCCCTTTCCAGATCTCGTGGGACTTGAATAACTGCAGACCTTGAAGGATTTTGAGCGATTGCTTTTATAGGCTGTGTATCCGTAAATCGGTTGCGTAGCCCGTTGCGTTGTCAGCTAAACCGTGCTTATAAACAAATTGCACTTAATCCAGATTCCTGGTGAATTTCGATGCGTTAAAAAATATTCCCAAAATGCACAAAGTAATTCTGTACGTACGGTTCCAGTATCAATGGCAGAGACTGTAACTGTGGAATGGTAACCAAGTCGAAATTGTCCCAGTTGGAGCGCAGAATAATTCCGTCGTGCTCAGTTGGGCTCAGCAGTATAATCAAATGCAGAATGGGGGCCTTTAGACGTAGAGCGTAGAGGTGGCGGTATACCCCCAAAAGAAATACGCGCGGAATAAGACAGACCTCTCTGTGGGAGATCGTTAATACTCGGAAGAGGGAAAGCAGAGTTAATGCGAAACAAGAAGTATGGCCCTGCTTGGAGGTTTTGAACCCAAGAAGCTTTATTTTCACCTATGGACTTATTTCAGTATAAGAAATACCAGAACCAGTTTGACAGAAGAATTTTCGATTAGAAGCTCTATGAACATTTCTAATTTTGTTACTGCTATATTCGTTCATTGAACAAAAAGAAAGACAGCAATATTCGCCGACGGGAAGAAGAAACTTCTTCTAATGTCTAAGCTTTATTTCTAGAAGTGTAAATTATGCGACATAAACCCACATATCTGCCCAGCTTTCGTAGATTTTCAATCTGCATTCGTTGATGAAGTAAGCCTATTTGCATAAATTAATCCTTGGCTCTTTTGGTATAGCATTCGGGGAGTGGGTTATTATGAAAGATCATGGGACAAGGTAGTTTGGCAGATAAAAAAATCATGAGACTACGCGTGGACGACATAATTATATGGCAGCAGCTTTTCTCCTGAACTGTCCGAAATATACAAAAACACCATCCTCTGTATTGACTATTCAGGAGTTTTTTACCATCAGTCCGATCCGTACTTGTTGTCTTTGAAAATTCCTGTAAACTAACATTTAATGCAATAATTGTTGTTCAAACTCCATCTCCCAGGCAGAACTCGTTTTCTATAAGCATAGTGTATTGGTATTTATATTTTCAACGTAAGGATTTGCGGTGTCCTTAGAATACCAGAGTGTAAACAGTAAGACGTCGTCTCGAGTGTAGACACTCCTGACCTTCCGAAGACCTGCCATGCTCAGACTGTTCCTCCCGAATTTAGTGATAAATATCTTTCAGCTCGTCTGTATGTGATTTGGGGTTTCTTTTTCGCCGTAAAAAACTGTGTATCTTGTTTCATATACCACCTAAACTGTTAAGTTACCCCATGATTACTGTTTTAAACATTGTTTTTTTTTCACTAGTTTCTACTACTCATATACCGCTCAATCTTTCATTGTATTCCTGGGCGAGCATTCCAAGTGGTTGACCGCCTTACATTGCACAT